TCCTAGATGAGTTTTTATATCATCTTTCAGTATAAATTGCTTGCCTTCACTCTAACCCGGCGAGATTTAAACTACTCATCCTTTCATGGGTGCTTCACGAAGGCCATGGTAGCTCCTTAGATTTTCTTGTCAGAGCCTCCTCGTTGAGAAAATCCCCAACATGTGCAGGTCTCTCCTAATACGCGCTCGATATCAGGTACCAAGTCCAAAAGTGGGTTTCTCTTGTCTGTGTCTTGCTGTTCCTTTACCCCCCCGAGGTGTGGAGAAACGCAAACCGCAATTCGGAATTCAGATATTGCCAAACCTGATACAAACCGACAGACCACCGAGCAGGCAGTGATCTTTACTAATGAACTTTCTAGTCATCCTCTGTATTTTTGGCTCTGTTATTCCTCCTGGGCTATGCTAGGATTTCCTCGCACTGTAGAGCAAACATTACTCCCGGCCAAAAGCCCAGTCAATCTGCACAGCTTTGTCAAACGCAGCCGGAGTCTGCAGTCCTCTCTCCTCTTCCAATCCCATTCCAAAACATAACCTCAAACTAACATTCTTGTACAAATCTCGATATAGCTTCTCTGCTGAATAAAACAAGCCTCTGCCCATTACATGTTCTGTCATGCTGATACGCACGTCTCATAAAATTACCGCAGCCTTATTTAAACGCGTATTTACGCGTATCACTAGACGACCCACAGACTCCGCACAATACAAGATCGTATTATAGATCTCAGGGGTATCAGCCCTGTGGTGACATGCCCACAATTATTGCTAGTTCGGGGCTGAACCGGGTCGCCATTGGTAAGGGAAATTCGCAATAGAGACAAGCGTTAAACTGTATGGCTAGCGGGTTTCAGATTGGAGAACTGAAGAAACATAGAACTGCACGGTGACTTTCACATGCATGTTAGTCTAGGTCCGGCAACACCTCTACAGAACATGAAGTATTTACTTGGTCAGGAACTGCATTATTGTTCTCATTCTGTGATTCTTGAGGGCTGAAGGGCAACACAGCGCATAGAACACAATACGACCCATGCCACTTGTGCCGAGGTTACATGTACAATATGTCGATCTCTGGGCTTAAAGAGGTTAAGAGGTCTGACCCATCCTGTTTCGTTCCAGAAAATTGACCCGTTCGTGTCGGACTTACCCGGTGGGATTCCTTTTGGACTCTTTCCGGCCTATCCGCTGCGCAAGAAAATACGGGTTCACACGATCGATACACGGGTACGTGGGTGGCTTTGTGCGGATACTGTAGTCCACAAGAGCGGACCTCATCTAATTCTGATGGAGAGATCAGCAAATCTCAAGCCGCGGAACATATTCTGTTAGATAAAATTTCCACACCAAAAGCCCCGTATGGTGGAACACGTCCACTCCTCAGTTTGCAAATGTGCGCAATTTTCTACCTACACCGTTCTATTGAGGGAGTGTTGGGGGAAATTGTATAGGCTCTCGATGACTGATAATTCCTGAAGGGGACGAATTTAATATCATAGTGTCATGTGGAAATGACGCCCACCGTGCCTCCAGTTGAAAAGCCTCGGGATGACCTTGATCTAGTAAGTTCGGCTACCCCTTCTGATGATAAGAACTCCCTTCTGATGATAAGAACTTATTAGCGCTAGTATCTCTTCTCCCACCTCGTCGCAGCACCATGCCAGAATAGTACATAAGTAATCCGGCGGAGCTTGGATTGGTATACTGCATTACCAGGCCTTTGGTATTGCCAATCCACTGGTACCGAAGCAAGGGCTTGATTGCGTATCCCGGTTGTGGGAATGGTGGCGCTGCTGAGGCTCGAAGTTGATATGCAGGTGCTGCCACCGCATCTTGACCTCCATCCCCGTACTTTAGGAAAGAATCATTGAATTGTACATTTGATCTGGCTCACAAATGCTGTACTTTCAAGTAAGCCATTAGGATATCAGAACACCATAAACATGCAGTGCGCACTACATGGATGAAAAGGTGCATGGTCACAGCGCCCAGATACATTACGCCAAGAGGCTCTGTGTCCGTCATTATCTGGATTCCATGATGCTGCCTACAATACGACCCATCTGCCCGGTAGCCGTAGGAATCCGGCGTGGCTGAACAGGACGGCTAGAGGCCCCACGTCAAAAGCCCCTTGCTCGCTATACAATGAAGCGGCATCATGCAGAACATTGCGGCTAACAAATCCTGAACAAATAACCCAAGTGCGAAGACGCAGAGATCAAGTACCCGTGACATGATTAGGATGTTAAAGCCTAAAATACGACTATCGTCCCACTGTTAGTTGTTTTTCCGTGATGCCAAAATAACAATATAACCCACATCCAGAGAGTCGAGTGGATTCGGATGGCCTTTTGAGGTAAGGTGTCAGTTGGTACTGGTTGCTGCTAAACTTCTCGCAGTAGAATTTGGGCGATCATCCAGGTCAGGGTGTCTTGATAGGCATTCTACTATGATCCATAGTGTAATACATAGGTCCAATAGGTCTAGCGTCGCCGGCGTTCTTCGGGAACCGATGCCCTTTTCTCATCTCAGATCTCTCCACTATACTCCGTACACTTAGGTTTGTTAAGGGGGAACGGGTCATTTCGAATTTTCAAAGGGCTTATCCACGCAGCAATATAAAAGGTGTTCCCCCAGCAGAGGACTGAATGACAACTAGAAGTTTTCATTTCGTTGATATCCAAAAGTCAATCATACGCACACACACACAATGAAGTTTGCCGTTGCTGTTCTTCCGCTTGTTGCGGCCGTGTCTGCTTCTTGTCTTCATGGAACCTCACTTTTGCCCCGTGCAGCTGATGGCACCGTCCACGTCAATTCTTACAACTATACCAACGCCGGTGGACCTCTCAACTGGTATGGCTTGGACAAGGAGAAGAACTCTGCTTGCTCCCACGGCAAGCGCCAGTCCCCCATTGACATTGTCACCGAGGATATCGACTATGCCACTGCCGACTCTCTTCGTTTCAACGTTCCCAACGCTGATCAGGCCAAGTTCGAGAATTTGGGCTCTGGCCTAGAGGTCGTTCTGACCAACGGCACCCTGGTCACAAGCAAGGGATCCTACCAGCTTGCTCAGTTCCACTTCCACACTCCTAGCGAGCACCGCGTGAACGAGGAGTACTTCCCCATGGAAGTTCACTTTGTTTTCGAGAACTCCGGTATGTTTAAAGCTTCATTCCCGAGAATCATACAAAATACCAACTATCATACCAGCTGGCTCCATTGCTGTGGTCGGTTTTGTTTTCCAGCTCTCCCAATTCGGCTACTCCACCCCCCTGTTCGACTCCGTGTTCGCTCACATTGAGGACATCGCCACTCCCGGTACCTACACCAAGACCGGAGCTCTGAACTTCGCCGCTCTCACCAACCACCTGAAGACCCACGGAATTTACGAGTACTCCGGATCCCTCACCACCCCTCCTTGCTCTGAGGATGTTGCCTGGTTCATCAGCACCGAGCCTCTCCCTCTCAACGTTCAGAGCTACAACGCTGTGAAGAAGGTGCTCAAGTTCAACGCTCGCTACACCCAAAATGCCCTTGGTCAGGACAACCTTCTTGAGGTCGCTGCCAATAACTAGAGCTAAGATGACTGTTTCTTGGGATTCATCACATCTAGTTACTTCGCCTGATATATCTGGCAGCTATAATTATACTTGCATGTATTTAATTGAACACAGTATACACCCTTCCGCAGTAAAACAGTACTGGTGGCTTTGAAATATAAATGCGCCTAAAGCCAAACTCAGGGGAAGCTTCATCTGGTGCAGTGTTGAGTGAATCTTGCAGAAGTCTCCGTGCAAATATTAATTGTGCCAAGCTCGGCAATTCAGCTAAGTTTTCTTGGGGAGTGGGGCTTAAAGTAAAGAGAATGGCTTGACAGAAACAAGCGTTACCAAGACGCCACTAGTCCCGATACATTACATAGACTGTGGGGATCTTGTAAGTTATCCCGGTTTACTCTTGTACCTCCAGAAATACTGAAATCTGATGTTTTGTTAGTTGGTTTTCATCGTTTTTTTTTTGGTCTCTGTTGCCTCTCCCTGTGCATTTAATCGCTGGCGTTTGATCCTCCTCCCTGAATCGAATTCTAGTTGCCTTTCAGAAATTGACTGGCCTATGTATCTGTCAATTTTCCTTCGCTCTATCAAGCGAAGATACTCTTCCCTGAGCGATCGAGGCACATGATAAAAATAGATACCGTAATACAGTACACAATTACATTGGTGGAAGCGCTCAGCCGAATCTCCAAGGAAACACTGTAAATCTTTAGCTACTCCGCACTAGCCTTGATATGGTCTTTCTAGGATTCCCTAGCGATATATACTGCGTCGTACATACCGGATTTCGACTAGATCACTTTATGTGGTGAAGCCAGTAAGTACCTAGAGTAACACTTGACACGGTAGCTTAGTCCTTGATCTAGTGAAGCTCAACGTTGTAGGCCTCAAATGGCCCGACTCTAGAGCATGATACAACTTGATGTATACCGTGTTCTCAACGATTTCTGCTGGGAGATATTGGGACTTGTTTTTAGTTTCTATGGTAATTTATCGATGGTCATAATACTCCTTTGGTTCCAATGCGTAATTTCCCCATAATACCCAGGTAATACTTATACCTGTTTTCAAGATACCAAGCGCGTATTGTTGGCAAAGTTTTAGCCACAATCTGCTCTCGTTAAGCAGTCAAGCCCTAGGCCCCCTTTTCCGCGTATAGGTGGCATAATTAAGTGAGAAAATTGCGTTTGTATCAAAAAACGCATTGATATACTAGCGTGTTATTTAATGTTAGGGTTCCGAGCCATTCCCCTTAATTTGTCTCTAACCCAGGAAAGTGAATCATCCGTATTGTTGTGATCTGGGACCACAGAGTGTGTGATGCATTAGGCATAGATAACTTGGTGATTGCTCCAATCTGATACTTATCGGTCTCAATTGGCCTTGTACAAAGTTTTATAGCCCTGGTAACCGATCTAAGAATATTATTTTGCAGGCCGACTAAACTGCCGAGCACTGACCACGCTGGATCTCTTGCTTGCTAAGCGTGGTCCACTGCGCCAACAACTCTTCGACATTGCCTGGCAGCAAGAAGTCTTCAGAACAGTTCTGTTTGTAAATATCATCACCGCGTAGCCCAAACATCGCGCTCTCCTGTGGAGGAGTACCGAGGATGGGTAGTCTCTCTGGCGATTCATTCCCAGGCGCACGTTCATCGTCGCTACTATTGGAAGTGGTGCAAGCGGAGGAACAGCCACTGAGCTCTAATGTCTTGGCAGCATATGCCTGAATCTCTTCTTCGCTTAAGACCCTTAGCACAACGATGGCATCTGCCCGCTCTTCGAATCGCTCAAGGCCAGCCGTCAATGCGGCAGGACTGACCAATCGCCGGTCAATTTTGGTCCACAATTTGTCAGGCAAGAGGTCCTTGTTGTGGGCTTGTTCGAACGGAGGGTCACCCTCACTCAGCGGATTCGGTCCTTCAGGAAACCTTTCACGCTGAGGCCGCAAGATACCCTTGGGAGGAATTGCAGCATTAGAATCTTCCTGTGCAGGTGGGCCAGTCGTGGCAAACTGTCGCGTATTATCTTTGCCGTCAGTGGATGATAAACTTCGGTCTTCCAGCAGCCGTTGAGAGCCAGGTGATCTGTATTGACGGCACCTATCCCGGGAGTGATGCCTGGACGAGTGATACTGGTCACTTCTGCAGGCTTCGGTGCTGCTGTTTTGGTAGCGCTCCTTTTCCTTCTGCGAGATACGCTCTTGTTCCAGCTTACGCTCCAGACGCTCGATTTCCTGCTGCTGCTTCCGGATATCTATGTCATGGCGGGAGTCGTTCCTCTCGAGCATGCGCTGGTCCATGACAAGCGCGTGATCGCGCTGGCAGGGAGAGGTTTCGCGAGAGACACCGCTGGCAACACCCCATGATGACGATTGCACTACTTCTTCTCCATCCCAATCATCGTACGCTGACCGCCGTATCGGTCGTGGCTTGTTGCCGTTGTCTGTGCGTTGCACCTGCTCGTCGAATTTGATCATCCCTGGCCTACTTCGATCGAAAGAACGCCGTCTGCGCCGTCTGCCCGGTTGGAGTGAATGGTACATGCGTAAGGATTGCTGCACCGACATCGGGGAGGTTTCTTTGGCTTCTAGTGGACGACTAAATGAGGTGCGGCCTTTCCGGCCATGAATGGACAAATCGGTTTCGGATAAATCCGATTCGTCTGAGTCGAAGTCTTCCACGAATATTTTTGTAGATTGTGATGAATGATGTGAGCTTGCGGGTGTAAGAGAAGGACTAGTGAATTTTGGCTTGAGATCGTTCTTGGATTTTTGGACGCTGTTAATGTCAGTGAGGTTTATATTAAGAAAGAAGAATGACGCGTACGTACGCAAAAAGCGAGTGGTCAATGTAAATCGAGGGTCCATGTTCGATTTGGAATCGCGTGATCTCTCCGGAGTGGATATTTAAGACACCATCCCTGATTCGTGAGTGCCTGTCCTTCTCAAGCTTGCTTTTGCACGATTCAATTTCATCAAGCATGCTTTGTATAAGGGTATTGTATTCCCTGAGCTCAGTGGACGTAGTCCCTTCCGTAGCTATGTGGGCTCCAATCTGATCCTCACTATTGTCCGCGGATCCCACTGAATCCCATGAAGATTGATTTCTTAAGATCGATTGGTGGGTGCTTGGATCGTGCTTATGATCGGACGTTTTGTCGGCACTACCGTGGGTTGATCTGCTGTGTGTCGTCTCTGTCGAGAGACCTTGAGAAGATCCCATGGCTGTATGACCCTGGTGTGATTTTTGGTTTCCAGCTTGTCTTTCTTCTAACAAATTTTGCAGCAAGTCACGCTGTTTCTTGGACTATGGTTGGAACATTGTTGCTGATGAAATATGAATAAGGATTCATTAAGGCGAGCAGCAAACATACCTTCGGATCTGACCCGCATACATAATCACATTAAGCAGAAGTAGCATCGTCGACTTCAGCCTTTCTAAGGTACTCTTTAACTGATCCAAGTTCGGCTCAAGTAGTACTATCCGGAATTTTCCAGTGACTTGCTGAAAGCGACCCTTTCCAGCCTGCTCATTAGTGTCAACCACTCTCTGGATCTGTCCAAGTACGTCCTGACACTGTTTCAGGACCAGGGCTAGAGTGCGGAATGCCTCATCTGAACAGAGTTTAGATGACTCCTTCTCCTTCAAATTGTCGCCTAGCTCACGCAAAATGGCACTAACGAGAGCGATCTCGTTTGATAAGAGCTGGACAGTGTCGTTGGCGTGCTTAACCCGCCGGTAGAGGGAGAAGAGTTGGACGGATAATTTAGTGCCCAAGTCAGCAACCTGTATGATACTGGCGGCGATACCGATGGCCTCAAGGCCAGACATTACGGCAATATGCTAGCAGGGCGACAATAATGTGGGCTCGAAATGGGCAGATTCTAAAAAGACTGAGGAATCGAGGTTTTTACCAGACTAGGCGGGGTTGACGCTTTGACATGTAGACCCCACTAAGCCTCCTTCACTGGAATTAATCCAGGTCGGGTTTATTGACTACGCGAGTGCAATACCATCTATTTAAGTCGCAAAAGGCTGACGAACTGCTACCCGAGGGGATTAGGAAGAGTGAGTATATGGCCGAAGTGCGAGCGTAAATACGCCACGCAATCGGCCCTCCGCATCGGGGCTAAACTCTCGTGTTAATTCAGCTCTTTGACTTTTACTTTATTATCTTTACCGATCGGTTGCGAAGGGCTGAATTTACCACAGAAAAAACCATCAACCGACCATTTTGAAGCCATTTTGGTGCCATATATCCGCGGGTAGCATCGAAAAAAAGCCGAACCAACTACGGCTCCTATTCCATTCACATTCTTAATGACGAAGGGTCCAAGTTCAATATATACTGACTAACGCTGGGTATCCCAAATCAAAAGCCACCAAGTAATTTATCAACATCAACACCAACAAGAAAGCAGCAGAAATAAGTATACCGTAAAAGAAGTAAGCAACAAAAGCGTCCCGAAAAATACAGATACAATCTCCACACAAATACGCGAGGGCAACGCTGCGTCGCTAATGACAAATATGCTCCGTAACAAAAGAACAAAACCGGAAAAGAAGATCGAAATCTATACTCACTTCTCGGCCAAAGCCGCAAGCAAAGAAGTTGACAACGGCGAGTTAGCCATCCTCATAATCTGCCGATGACTATAGCCGACACAATTACCAGAACGGCTTCCACCACCAGCATTCCCAGACCCCAAACCAACACTCGCCCTCGAATTCCTCCGACAAGGCTGCGGTCTCTGTTCAGGAGTCGGACAGGCACCTTGATCCAAAGCCTGAGATTGACTCTGCCTCCCTGCCCGAGTCTGCAATTGCAATTGCAATGAAGAGTCCGCACGCCGATTCCTTTCTTCCTCATCCATTATTCCATCACGCATCTCTTCAAGTGTGATCCCCGACCTTGGTCTTTGAGTACGGCGAATCTCTCTTTGTCGTTGTGGCGTGGGAGATGAAGAATGACCAAAGTCATCCACTTTTTCCAGCCCACAGCTTGCTTCTTCGCCCATGAAGACGTCGTCGTTATCTGTTGACGGGTCTTTTGTTTTGAGATTTGGACGAGGGACGTTTCTCAATTGAGACTGGGGCTGAGGCTTAGACTGCTTTGAGCTTTCCGCTCGCTGCGCAAGCGGTGATGCACGAGGACTGCGTGTCTTTCCGTTCGTGTTCATCTTGTGGTTGAGATTTGGGAGATGTGATGGCGTCGGGCTATCTAGTAATAGTCTGATATTGAGGGTATTTGTTGCTGCCTCTGCTGTTGGGAGACCCGTCATATTGGGTGCCGTGGCTATGATAGTTGGAGTAGAGGCTCGGGGTGGAGGTTGATATTGGGGTTGTGTTCGGTTTTGGCCTTGGCCCTGGTATTGACTTTGGGTGTTGTTCCATAGCTGTTGAAGGGTTGTTTGCAGGAGGTTATTTTGTAGAGATAGGTCATTGTTCTGGAGGGATAGATTGTTTGTTTTGTTTTGGAGTTGTTGCTGATATGGGTTAATGGAACCATATTGACCGGGATAAGGTTGCTGGGGTCTGGTTTCTGGGAACCCTGGGTCTACTGGGATTTGCATCTTCGTAGGGAGGAAAGATAATATTAGCCTTTCTATCATTGGATAAGTGGAATCTGCTGGTCAGCTCATGAAGTTAAACATACCTGACGGCTGAACTTCCTTCCAGGCATAGAAATGTAATCATCAAACTGACTCTCAAGAGCAGCAAAATTGAATCCCCGGACCGGGTCCACAGGTTTAAACCGCTGACCAACCTCCTGTTGAAAGTCGACACCCCGTCGAGGAGCAGGCTTATACGCGGACATATTGAGCATCCAACTCGGGTAACTTCCAAACCAAACATCGATAACAGGCTCGACCTCAATTGACAAAGCGGGCCGGCTATCGACCGTAGGCTTTTGAACCAACATGACGAAGGTGAACTCACGCGGTAGACCGGATTTCTGCAGGTTGTTCTCCTCCATGGACCAAACAATCTCCCCAGCCTCAACGTCGAAACTTGCTCCTTTTTGGCTCTTCAGCGTACGCGCCGACCCTTGAATGCGCATCATCTCGTATCGTCTGTATCGGCTGTTGACACTTCCTGAGGGAATCACACTCGCGCTCACTGGCATTTCCGATATACCCAATGACCCCGCCAGACTGAAGGTCCATTCCATCGTCTCTGGCGACACAGTACCGTAGATCAAACGCGGCGCATGCATGAGGAACCTCGGGTTACCAGGCGGGTATCCATTTGGATAAAGAGGCGACCGAGACATCTCCCTCGCACCATGAACAGAGACCTTGATCGAGGCAGATTTAAAGCGATGAGAGAGAGTATGCGGCGAATGGAAAACGAACCCAATAGCGAGGAAATCAACATGTTCAGCATCCTTGTCAGAAACAGAACTGCTCGAATAAAACCCGTGTTGCAGACGCTCCACGTGCGCGGTAATATATGCATCGCCTGGTAGATGGCGCTCGTAAATACAAGCACGGTTGATGAGGAGGCGTGGATTTGCCATGTTGGGATCGGGTGGCTTTTTCTCTTTGGGAGGGGCGTCTTCGATAGAGGTTAGGGAAAGTGAATCTGACAGGCGCCCATTTTGGGCTGGTGTTGGTGTATACGCCATGTTGGGATGGCGTCCGCAGTGCGACAAAACCGCTGGTCCCTGCTGAATGTTGTTGTTCACTGTCCATCGGCTCTTCAAATGCCTCGCTTTGTATAGTGCATACAGGTTCAAATTTACTATATGGGCATATATATGATTTTAGTAGACTACAGGCAAGATCAGTTTGCTTTTTTTGTCATCTCTTGGCGATGATGTCTCCCATCACCTGGAGTGTCAGGTGTGGGATAGGTGTCAGGTGAGCCACTGGTCAAACTGGTCACTGTGACGCGGCTCCAGGCCGTCACTTGTGGAATGATATTGTCATCTTCAAACACATTCAAGTTAAAAATTAGACACATCTTGTATGTAGTTTCACGTTTGTAGTTGAGTTGATGCCGATCCTTGGCGGGGACTGGGGAACACATATCAGAACGGCCGGATTAACTATTCCGCCGGGCAGAACTCAACGCCTCGCGATCACGAAAGTTCATCAACGATAGGCAATGGTTTAGAGCTCTCTGGTTCTGGTTCATTGCATCTCGTAAAGGATCACCTTTGCTGTTTTATTATCCTTGTATGTATGCCTGATCGGGGTGCGCGACTTAAATTCCGACCTCGCCTGCTAACAACCGCCAGATTGTTCCCTGTACTATAGCATATACTGGTGTTTTTTGCGGCTCCTCTGCGATCAGCTTGTTTGATTTGTCTTATTTCTTTCCTTGAATCTGCACCGTGGATCACCGGGAATTCTCACTCTAGACAGATCTTGTTTGTGCTTCCCACTACATTAACACCCGGATCCTGAAGTGGCATTGCATAGTCCGAAACCAACTGTGCATGTGCAAAGCTTTGATACAAAGCAATTGTGATACTTGAGATTGCCGGCTTTATTCTCTATCCGGCGTGTCGACACTTCACCCGTCCATCCAACTGTCTTTTCATTTGTGTCACCATGATCGCCTCATGTGCAGCTCAGCTGTCCCTTCGGGCAAGTCGGCAGGCATCTCAAATTTTGCTACGGGATACACGGATTCCCATGAGATGTAATGCGTTCCGGGCGGAGGCTCTTCAGAGAAGTGGACTCCACTGCATGGCCACAATCCGGCCTTCCACATTGAGCCAGATGCCAACTGGGTACGACACGCCCTCTCATCTTCGACTGTACAATTTTAACCATTTTCCAGCGGCCTGAAGAGCCAGGTTTGTCTCCGGACCACCACTCTCATTCCCCCATCATTCTTCGCCCAGCAAAGATGGTCCGGGTCAAAATCTCCAGAAGAAAACAAAACCCCTGAAACGTAGGTGCCCAGCCTACTTCATGTTCCAGCACCCAACAGTCAACTGGAACCTTCATGGACCCCAACTAATTCCAGGCAGATCTGAGCCTCCTAAGAAAAAACCCATTCTGGCGCGAATTCCCCTCGCCAGCTCACACGAGAATATCTACACTGTCCCGAACATTCTCACCTTTTCCCGGCTACTAGCGGCCCCTTTGGTTGGGTATCTCCTGGTACACAACTACCACACAGCCGCGCTATCCCTGTTCGCATACGCAGGCATCACCGATCTCGTCGACGGCTATATCGCCCGGCGTTATAACCTCCAGACGGTGGTTGGAACCATCATCGATCCTATGGCTGATAAGCTGCTGATGACGATTGGAGTCGCGTGTCTGGCTGTTAACGGGTCTCTCCCTGGTAAGTCTCGTATTCGTGGTCGATATGGACATGCGCGGTTCTTATGTTGACCTTTGCACAGTTTGGTTGACCGTGATCATCCTCGGTCGGGACGTTGGTCTCGCGATGTCCGCCATCTACTACCGCTGGATATCTCTCCCTGAACCTAAGACCATGGCCCGGTATTGGGATTTCTCGCTCCCATCGGCTGAGGTTAAGCCTACTGAGATCTCAAAGATCAACACTGCTCTGCAGCTGGTGCTGGTTGGTAGCGCGATCGCACTGCCTGTAGTTCCCGAAGCGTTTGTTAGTGCTTGGCATTTGAGCGAGGCCATGACTGGATTCCAGTAAGTTTCTCTTTCGCTTCATTCTATTCCCTTTCTTTTTTGTGTTGGAAGGCCAGGCTCCCCTGGGCCAAGTTAAGCAACATCAAGGCGTTCTTAAGTACATGCGACCACAGGGTGTGGAGAACAGGGCTTCCCGTCCGCTCAGCCGTACTTAAGCCACACGCCGGTGAGTTAGTAGTTAGGTGGGTGACCACTAGCGAATCCTCACTGTTGCATGTTCTTATTTTTTTCCTGTCGCTCAAAAATAGCCTTATGTCGCGTCGCATCTTTCAGCATTTTATCATTTTTGTACTAACCAAAAGTCAGGTACCTGGTCGCGGGCACCACCCTCTGGTCAGGTCTCAGCTACGTCTTTTCCAACAACGCGGTAAAGATCCTTTCCAAAGAAGAGATCCAGAAGCGCATCGCCCAAGCCGCGGCCAAGCGCAAGCCTTAATTTGGATCTAGCATTTAACCTGAACGAGTTAGAAGTGTATAGTACTAAATCCTGTAACAGGGATATCGCATATGAAACATCAGAATAAGCCCAACACCACCCTCGGTTAAAAATTTGTAATGTACGAGTAGCAACCCAAGTGATATACCCAATGTGTCTCACCGTTCATTGTGCACGTACATGTAACTTACATGTCGGACGGAACACCAACATGTGAGATATCTAAAACGTGGCATGCAAACCAGATGCAGTCAGCACAGCCATTGAAGTGGAGACCTGCAGCTGTACGTTCCAGACCGATTCGGCATTTGATGAAAAATAGGAACACAAGAATCGGACAAAACTAAGCAAAAAGCGGCCTAAGGGCCATGATTCAGGGCTAATGGATACTCAAGCCGTGTAAGCGTACATAAGTGTTTTCCGACATCTAGTGCCGGCGGAACTGCCCGTCCACTAGCCGATTTCTCGGGTGCGCAAGTCATGTCGGTTGTCGGTATGGGCCGCAATACATAGTAGATGCGATTACCAATTATTTGGGACGCCACCGGGCTTGGTTTGGCCGATGTGGATCGGTCAGATCTTAAAAGTCGCCGAACTGCAGGTTTGAACGTGTGGAAGTATAACTCGAGTCAGGTTTGTGCGGTGGCGAGCCGGCTTGGTGGGTGGACTTATTCAGGTGCACGGACTTATATTACTCACAATGAATCACCATTGCGCATGATGGTCCAGTACAGTACTCCTAGGTCCATATATCAAAGCTAAATCGTATGAAATGCCAAGAATAGCTAATATTAGCTCGATTTCCAACCAAACATTACCAATCAAGGGAATTGCAAGGTAATTAGATGTTAGCGGAATATAAAAGCCGATGTTTGCATCTCTTGGCGGTCAGCACGATAAGATAGGAATGGATATTCCGTCGGGATGACAGATTAACAGCCAATGAACAGTCAGTATACACACAGAAATGGCCCACATTCATTTGATCGGGTAAAGTCCGGGAATTAGTCTAACTCCGGCGAAAAATTCTTCGATGACGCCCAATGATTAACCTTGACTCATGCACTCCACTATAGCTCTGTGAAGGCAACGAACGTATATCTCCTCCCTGATTCGACAGTTTCACCGTTCTAGAGCCCACATGTCTGTCTTCTTCGTCCTGTTTTGGTGTCTTACAAATCGATCTCGGAGTTAATGGCGATTGGAAAAAAGATGGCCGTTCTTATTTAACCATCCGGGACGTCCATGGACTGTGTCTGAATTGCTTGCTAATACTCTCCACTCCTTTTTTTATTTCCTTTCTTGTTCCCGCTGTATATACCCTAATCAGCATCTCTAATATCATTAATCTGCCATTGATTGCCTGAGAGTAGAGACCAAGGCGACATGGACGCCAATTTCCGTGCAATGGACTCTCACCAGGAACACTCCGTGTCCGAGTCCAGAACTTATACTTCCTCCGCGCAACACTCTAGTTCGACTGGACAGAACTATCACACCGAGTCCTCCGCCCAAAACCTTGGTTCCAATGGACAAAACCACCATACCGAAACCTCCGAGGAGCCCTCCGAAGAGACCGCCACTACCGAACAGGTCAACAACCAGACAGCAGAACCCATCAAATTGACCTCCACCTCCTCATCCCTGAGCTCATCTCTTGCAAGCGAAGATGGCCGCTGGGGTGAGCAGGAGAATGGGGAGCCCGTCTCCCGCCGCGGCGCAATGGAAGACCTGGAGGAAATGCGCCGCGAACTGACCCGTCTCAGTCTGCACCGCACCCGGTCGACCACTAAGAGTGCCCGACGCCTGAAGTCACGCGCCAGCCGCCGCGACGTGGAGAAGGGCAAGGAGGAGGAAAGCGAAGTCGAGACTGAGGACTTCGATCTGGGTGAGTTCCTCATCGGTGGTCATCTGGAGCGTCGGACCACCGCAGGCGAACCCGCCAAGAAGGTCGGTGTTGTCTTCAAGAACCTCACTGTCAAGGGTGTCGAGACCGGCGCATCGTTCGTGCGCACCCTCCCCCACGCCGTAGTGGGAACATTCGGTCCGGATCTGTATAACGTCGTCTGCCGGTTCGTGCCGCAGTTGCGGTTCGGCAAGAAGCCCCCCGTTCGTGATCTGATTCATGATTTCAGCGGTGCAGTGCGTGAGGGTGAGATGATGCTCGTGCTGGGTCGTCCTGGAGCGGGTTGTACCACTTTCCTCAAGGCCATTGCCAATGACCGGGCTGCGTTTGCTGGTGTTGAGGGTGAGGTCAGCTATGGCGGTCTCTCGTCTGAAGATCAGAACAAGTACTTCCGTGGCGAGGTCAACTACAACCCTGAGGATGATCAGCACTTCCCTTCTCTCACTGTCTGGCAGACTCTGAAGTTCTCCCTCATCAACAAGACCCGCAAGCATGACCGTGAAAATATCCCCGTTATCATTGATGCTTTGTTGAAGATGTTCGGTATCAGCCACACCAAAAACACACTTGTTGGTAACGAGTACGTGCGCGGTGTGTCGGGAGGTGAGCGGAAGCGTGTCAGTATTGCCGAAACCCTGGCCACCAAGTCGTCCGTCGTCTGCTGGGACAACTCAACCCGCGGTCTGGATGCCAGCACCGCTCTGGACTACGCCAAGTCTCTGCGCATCATGACAGACGTCAGCAAGCGCACGACCTTCGTCACTCTTTATCAAGCCGGAGAAAGCATATACGAGCTCATGGATAAGGTGATGGTCATTGACGCCGGCCGTATGCTCTACCAAGGACCCGCCAACGAGGCCCGCCAGTACTTCATCAACCTCGGCTTCCACTGCCCTAGTCAATCCACCACTGCCGACTTCCTGACTTCCCTCTGTGACCCCAACGCCCGTCAGTTCCAGCCCGGCCGTGAGGCGTCTACCCCCAAGACCGCCGAGGAACTCGAGAATATCTTCAAGAACAGCGCCTCCCACAAGTATATCGAGGATGATGTTTCCAGCTATGAGAAGCGTCTCCAGGATACCCAACAGGAGGATACCCGTCGCTTCCAGTCGACTGTTGCTCAATCGAAGAGTAAGACCGTCTCCAAGAAGTCGCCGTACACCGTCTCGCTCGTGCGCCAGGTCATGGCCTGTGTGCAGCGTGAGTTCTGGCTGTTGTGGGGTGACAAGACGTCTCTCTACACCAAGTACTTCATCATCATCTCTAACGGTCTCATTGTCTCGTCCCTGTTCTACGGAGAATCACTCGATACCAGCGGTGCATTCTCGCGTGGTGGTGCTCTCTTCTTCTCGATTCTGTTCCTTGGTTGGCTCCAGCTGACCGAGCTGATGCCTGCTGTGACTGGACGTAGCATTGTTGCCCGTCACAAGGATTACGCTTTCTACCGTCCGTCTGCTGTCTCGATTGCCCGTGTGGTGGTTGACTTCCCGGCTATCTTCTGCATGGTTGTGCCGTTTACGATTATCGTCTACTTCATGACTGGTCTTGATGTCGATGTCTCCAAGTTCTTCATCTACTTCCTGTTCGTGTACACGACTACTATTTGCATCACTTCGCTCTACCGCATGTTCGCTGCCCTGTCGCCTACTATCGATGACGCGGTTCGTTTCGCTGGTATTGGACTGAACTTGCTCATTATCTACGTCGGCTATGTGATCCCCAAGCAGAACTTGATCTCTGATTCGATTTGGTTCGGTTGGTTGTTCTATGTGAACCCGATCTCGTACAGTTACGAGTCCGTTTTGACGAATGAGTTCGCTGGCCGTACCATGGAGTGCAACCCATCTCAGTTGGTTCCTCAGGGTCCTAATGTTGACCCGCAGTACCAGGGCTGTGCTCTGACTGGATCAACCCTTGGTAGTACTTCTGTTTCTGGATCTCAGTACTTGGCAACCAACTTCCAATTCACGCGTCACCACATGTGGCGTAACTTTGGTGTCATCATTGCCTTTACTGTCCTGTACATCCTGGTCACTATCTGGGCAGCTGAGTTCCTCTCGTTCGGCGGTGGTGGTGGTGGTGCTCTGGTCTTCAAGAAGTCTAAGCGTGCTAAGAATATCGCTGCTCAGACTACCAACGGGAACGATGAGGAGAAGGTCGCCAACGCCACCGACAATGCCGCTCTTGCCCAGGGTAAGGGCTCTTCTGGTGAGGATGCTGCTTTCAGCCGTCTTTCCGAGAGTGAGCGTTGCTTCACCTGGCAGAACGTTGAATACACCGTCCCCTACGGAAACGGAACACGCAAGCTTCTCAACAAGGTCAATGGTTACGCTAAGCCTGGTGTCATGATTGCTCTGATGGGTGCCTCCGGTGCCGGGAAGACTACTCTTCTGAACACTCTGGCCCAGCGCCAGAAGATGGGTGTCGTCACTGGAGAAATGCTCGTCGATGGCCACAATCTTGGGCCTGATTTCCAGCGTGGTACTGGTTTCTGTGAGCAGATGGATCTGCACGATAATACCTCGACCATTCGTGAAGCTTTCGAGTTCTCTGCGATCCTCCGCCAGCCCCGTGAAACTCCACGCCAGGAGAAGATCGAGTACGTCGACCGTATCATTAACCTTTTGGAACTTGAGGATATCCAGGACGCCATTATCGGGTCTCTCAACGTCGAGCAGAAGAAGCGTGTCACCATCGGTGTGGAACTCGCAGCCAAGCCCAGTCTTCTTCTGTTCCTTGACGAGCCTACCAGTGGTCTCGACAGTCAGGCCGCGTTCTCTATCGTCCGATTCCTCAAGAAGCTCTCCCAAGCCGGTCAAGCCATCGTCTGTACCATCCACCAGCCCTCTTCCATGCTCATCCAGCAATTTGACATGATCCTCGCCCTGAACCCCGGCGGTAACACCTTCTACTTCGGCCCCGTCGGCAAGGAAGGCGCCGCAGTGATCAAGTACTTTGGCGATCGCGGCTTCGTCTGTCCACCCTCCAAGAACGTCGCCGAATTCATCCTCGAAACTGCCGCAAAAGCAACCCAGCGCAACGGCAAACAAGTCGACTGGAACGAAGAATGGCGCAACTCGGACGAAAACCATGC